ACTTAGAAGGGATGGAAGGGCGGGATATCTAGTCCCAGGAGAGAGATGCCTAGTCTCTGGGAGAGACATGTCCTGCTGCAGAGCCATCAGCTAGCTAAGGGCAACCTTGCAGGTTGCAGGTCTCCAGCAGATCCTGACAGGGACATGCCCACGTTGGCAAACCTGTTGAACCATGGCAAGGATGTGGGTGGTACCTACGAGCCTGGCCCTGCTGGCATAGGTACAGCAGTACTAATCACAGTGCAGGACACCATGAGAAACCTAGAGCATCTTTTGACCTGCCAGCCCTGAGACATCTCTCCATGCCTTCTCTTTGCTTGGAAGGGGAAAGCAACAAGGAAAAGATGATCTCCTTGCGGTGCTGGGTCGGTACCTCTCTCTGCATGCATCTGTCTGTCTATCTTCATGCACTTTTGTTTTTTCCATCCTAAACAAGCCTTTTCTTCTTTCTCAGAAGAAACCTGTCTGCACAAGGCAATCTCAATCCTAAGTACAACCCTGTGTCACTGGCTGACCACACATTCAGCCACAAGAGGCACAGAGATGCACAGCTGACTGCTCCTCCATGAGCAGGGAGGATGTTTGCAGAGGCTGCCTCTCCGAGGGGAGCACAGCTGAAGCGTCTTTGCAATTTAAGACGTGAACAAGACTTTTGTGGCCTTGGCCAGGCAGGTATCCCAGGCAGGTTGAGAGTTTGCTGAACAGGGTGAAGCTTCTGAGCTCATCTGACTTCTTAGCATCTCTGAGTGATATATTGGCGATACCACTGGCCTGGGTCCAACTGTTACCATCTTCAGGAAAATATTCCCAAAATGAGACAATATGAAGAGTTCTCACACTTGAAACTCATTTGTTTAAATAAAAGAAACACCAGAGATTTCTGCTTTCTCCAAGACATCTACTACATCTTCCCTGACCCACCTCTGTTGAGAATTTGTCGATGGCTCGAATTTCCACACCTTCCCGTGGCAGGGAATCTCCTCCCCTCTCCTTCTGGCTCTATCTGCCAACTGCTGTGGCTCTTCCACCAGTTATTCTTCCTCCTGAAATGATTACCATCATTTTTATTTAAGTAGGGCTCCTCGTGCTGCCACCCGCCTTTTCAAAGCTTCCTGGGTTTGAGGTTTCCTTATTTGCCATCTTGCACAGCGGATCAACTGCAGCTGCTTAAATTATAGGGCTTCAATCTTCATCTATATACTGTGGGTGGAAAAAAAGGAAGGGCTTTCTGTCAGTTCTGTGTTAAATTTTTTTCTCTGACTTTCATTAAAAGGGAGCTTGTTCTTTGAGCGACTCGTCTGGATTTAAAGGCAGGAGAAAAGAAACATAAATGCCATGATGAAGCAAGAAGACAAAACTTGAACAAATGGCCTGGGCAGCAGCTTATCCCTTGAAACATTCTTTGCTCAGTCTTGGAAAAGGAAAATAATATGCCATTATTTGGGAACTTTTCCACAAGCAGGACTGTTTTGAGGCTGCATGTGAGACCTAAGTCATTATATAGAGCTCTGCACAGCAATCAGGATGTAGTATCAGGATGGAGATCTGCACCGAGACCTCTCAGAGAGCAGGAACTGTTGGGTTTCCTCCTGTTGTACCTGTCTTGCTGTCTGTGTGGGTAGAGGGAGAAAGGCTTTTCTGTGGTTTCTACCACTTCAGCCCAGAAAAACGAAGTTTGGAGCAAGGTCCTCATTAAGGACCAGGCACAGTGCTAGAGCTGGGTTTCCATGGTGACTGTAGGATGCTGCAGATGGGTTTGGTGCCTTGCTTGGGCTCCACAGCCCTGAGAAACACTGTGACTTGTGGGGTGGAAGCATCTTTTGAGTGCTGGTGAGCACAGAGCACATTTCCCAGCTCTTACCTCACCCTTCAGCTGCCCCAGAGAGGGGAAAGGGGGCGAGATGTTCCTGCCCAGTACCCCTGAATGTGGTGTGGAGAGATGTCCTGTGAAAGCCTTAAAGCTGAGGTCCTTCAGCAAAGGTCCTTCCTTACATCCTTGACTCAGCCTCTGGTTCCCTCCTGGACTGGGGACCTTTCCCAAAAATCACTTTTTTGGAAAGCAGTGGTGGTACTCATGGGATGTAGGTGACTGGTAGCAAGCTGTAGTCTGATGGGGCCATGGCATTTTAGGCACAGTTGCCTCCATCCACAAGGAAGGGCAGACATGCATGGGCTGGGGAGGGGTGATGGCATACAGAGGACCTGTCATGGGGGAGAGAGTCCAGAGAACCGTTCTGGATAGCTTCATCTTATTTGCCTGACTTGCAAAACAAATTACCAGACCTGTTCTTGGAGAGCTGTACCTATCTTTGAAGCATCCTTGGCCTTCATTTTATCATCCCAAACAGCATTAAATGCTTGTTGGGGAGTCATCTTATCAGGCACATCTACTTGGAAAGGCTTGAAAGGCTCTTGTCATGTTTTTCTTCATGTGTGCTTTGAATTTATAGCTTCCTATGGCCTGGAGAATCCCACCGAGCTGGGAAATATATTAGAAAAGGAGATGATGCTTCCATCCTGAGCAGAGCTGATGTTACACCTGCGGCACAGCTCTCTCCTGCCAAGGTGCCTGCAG